CCTTCGTTACCGTAACTTAACGGTTAGTACCTAACCTAACTTAACGATTACTACTAAACAAAAATAAATAAGTAAGTAAGTAGTAATAAAAGTAAGTACGTATATATATATATATATATATATATATTGTGAATCATGGAGTCTGTCCTATTATTTGTCTGTCTCCTGTTTACACTGGCCATTTCCCACACTGCATTTGAAAAGCTGCACATGCAGGCAAAGCCCAACATTCAGTTTTGAAATGATGGGAGAACAGTCATGAACAATGTTGATGCCAATTTTTATTTTGCAAGCAGGATATTCTACACTATAATTCACATTTCAAAGTGTGAAGTAACTTAAAGAATGAAAATGGAGATGTACAGCATGTTATTGTTGAGTGGCTTTTAGCATGACTGAAATGCTCAACAATTTATTTTTTGCAGTGGGTTGTATAAGTAGCTCAGAGCTTTGGCTCTAAGTGAAACCAAGAGTGTAACACAATTAACCTTTTTAAAGTCCATAGAATAATTTAAACTGATAGATTAACTTAAACTTTTCCCATCACTGGGGATGGATACTTTTGGTTGCTCTATAAAATTCTAAACAAGTGGGCAAAAAACACATACCATTAAGGTGGCTAGTGAAATACTTAAAGTCTACATCTATGCTAATCCTTTACAGTTTTCTCTGCCATTACAATTTGAAGAGTTTTCTTTTGCATTTCTGAGGTGTTTGGATACCTTCAAACAACATTTTGTGACTGGTCAGTTATGTGTCAATCAGCCAGTTAAAAAAAGCCTCAAATATAAATTTTCATTTAACATGAACATCAAAGCAGACAATGCAAGTACTAGCCACAGCTCTCCACCCAACCATCCAACATTTTCTCACCAGACTTGAACAAACTGTGTAGATGGTCAATTTTACAATACAAGTGACAGAAATCACCAAATGGTGGCCAGTTATCATACTTATGACATCAGTATGTTCTACTTATACACTAATAAACATTTTAAAGTAGAGAATTTCTTCTGTTTTTCTGTATATATATAAAAGACCCTCAATACATATTAGAATGTGTAAACAACACAATGTGTCCTGTATATTTACTAAGTTTCTTTATTGCATATGTAGCTCATACACTATAATTTATGTATTAAACAATGAAAACCAGATTGTTTGGTCACATCTTTACCTCAATTTTTGCTAATTCACAACAATTCACAGCCAACTTGATAATTTTTATTAGGCCTAACTAAAAAATATGACAGTTTTGAACTTCTTATCTAAGAAAGCACATTGATCGATTGGAAAGGATTCCGAGAAGGACTATTAGGATTATTCTAGTAATGGAAGGGATACCATACAATGATAATTTACTATATCTTTATTTTACCTTGAGAAAAAAGGGTAAGAGGTGTTACAAGATCACCTGGGGAACTTGTACAATAAATGCCTCTAATTACATTGTACTTCATTCTAATGATAACATGATGAGTGGACACAAGATTTGGAAAAAAACAGACTAAGCTCAGTTAAGACAGTTTTATTTTTCCAAACGGGTGGTTGACTTATTGAATGACTTGCTGTCAGAACTAGTAGAAGTTAACAATTTACAGGAGTTTATGAGAGGAAATATTTTCCTGAAAATGGTGGGTTTACATTTTTAACCCTTTCACTATGGGCTCTGTCTTGGAGACCGACCTTATAACCATTTTGTACTTGTTACAGTTTTCATACTATAACTTTTAATACAGTATGCATATCTTAACGAAATTTGGCAGATTATCATTAGACATAACAAGGCTTTCATACACAAAATATAAATTTTTGAATTAGGTTTTAAGAATTTTTAATTAAAGATTTGTTCTTTCATTTTTTATTTTCAAATGTTGACTATCCCACATGCAAAGTAATTTTGATTTTTATATTAAAAATATTTTTATGCATCAGAAAACTGACAAATTTTATTTGCAAAATCTCTAACCTTCTAATAAAATCCAGATAAATATCAAACGTTTTTTTCTTTGAAAAACTTTATATCTTATCTGTTATTTTTCCAATCTTTGGTTGAATTGACTGACCTCATAACCACCATAAAAATTAGGAAATAAGATTTAACTTATGCTTTTTTCATTCTAAAATGACTACAAATTGTAACATGAAACCACAAATGTTTATTCTAAATAGCTTAACTCTTGTAACATTATACATCTATATATATTTATCTATTTTATTTTATTGACTTTCTGCCATGTCCAACTAACATTACAGAAGCTGCAATCACAGTGCACATGCATCTCATGTTGCCACATCCAACAGCATAATACTGGCATTTACAAAGTGATCTGTCTTGGCTTTGTTCTAGTAGAACAATAGTTTGTAAAATACAGTCACATTTCGGTTATAATACATTACATATGTATATAAACTATTACTATTTAGAAATAAGTTCTTAAATTTCAGTTATTGTTCTTAAAACATACAACAGTAAATAAAGAAATATAGAAAACAATGATCTCTACTACTTATGACTGTAAAGAAGTTTGTACTCACTTACCATACCTTGCATGCTAAGCCTTAGTAAATTTTGCATGTGGAGGATGTAAAACAAAACAACTTTATTAGGTTTCATATATGCATTTTGAAATAACAAAAACTATAAATTACTCTTACCAGCATCACATAATTCCACAGTAATTTATCAGTCTTACTAACTAAACTGTATTTGGGTTTAAAATAAAAATGTTTTTTGAACACCATTTTCTTTTACTCCTTCCTTCCGAGATTGGAAACAAAAGACTAAACTTGGGAAATACACACCTTGAAAAGGCTGAGAAAACCACGTGGGGGAATTTCTAAGCTTTTGATTGGTTATAAATACATGATAGAGTGAAGCAAGTGTATGTAAGCAAGTATTTCCAAAAATGGAAAAAGTGGGTGGAGTCACTGTGTTTAACTCACTAAATATAGTCATATCTTAGTAAACAGAAAAGATAGGAGGTTTGTATATTATATTCTAGCCTGTCAATATTGGTAACTTGAGTTTCTAATTCATAAGAAACTACAGACTTTGTATTTGGACATCATAAACATTTAACTTGAACCATAGCTGCATTCAACATACTACAAAAAATCGATCTTTAGGAATTTTGTTTTTGTATTTACTTTTAAATTAAGAAATTAACTAATGTATAATACTAAAATCTGAATTATAATCTACAATTTGATATCAAACTTATTGACATACATTCATAAAATAGAAGTTCAATAACATTTTGAATGTAAGTCTATATAAACATAATGACATGCCCTCTGACCCCTGACCATAGGAAAACCCACAGCAATATGTTTAAAAAGTGGGTGAGCAAGGAGATTTTTAAAAGACAAATGGTCCCTTTGTTTTCCATTGGTTATGTTATAGCTTCTAGGAAAGGTGAAATTTAAATTGTACATTTAAATATATATATAATCAAACAACTTACTGGTCCTAGACAAATATCCCGATCTTGTCTGTCCTTCAGCTTAAACAGTTCTGCCCCAATATTCACCCATCGCTCTGAAGAAAAAGAAGGAGAATGTTATACACTAAGTTTACAAACCTTTCCTGTTATATCAGTAATAAATTACTTGTGTGAAAGTATTTCCAGTAACACTTTGCTTTTATCTTATCTTATAAAGGTTATCAGTTAATAAATTTACCTTTATTCAATTAAACATAAATACAGGTGTCATTAAGTTTGAAGAGCAATGTAGATTAATTATTACTTGATGTTCGTCATCAGTTAAACCTAAAACAACAATAGCTAATAAATTAAAATATAAGGTTTACTTTACATTTACATTTAGTGACAGAAATACATAGCTGACCCTTACAAGTTTATTTTCAGCCATAATGAGCAACAACAATAGGATTTCTGTACACACAATATAGTGAAATTGCTACCAACTCCAGCCCACAGTATCACCTTTGTCCAAAATTATCATAAGGCAGAAGCAAAGGGGGTACTTGAGGACTTCCATCGTAATCATACCATACCACCAGCTGTAATGACCAGCATCAAACCAATATTTGATTCTCCAAGCCAATTTGGCTTCAAAATTGCTTGGACTGCATTACCCCAAACCGTAACAAGTCACTGAATCACATGATCTGGAGAAGATGCCCCGAGTCTTCATTTGCCAGCAACAAATTAGTTTGTTGGGCTGCTGCTGTGTGCACCTTTAATGAAGGTGCTGCATCCAAAATAAAAGTCCTTGAAGTAATGAAGATGACTGCAGGACCATACACGAGAAAATGCCTGATAAAATTGACTTAGAAAAGGTGAAAGGAGCAGAAATGACTTCCTCCAAGAAAGGAAAGCTGGAACATATGTTTCACAGAAATGTCAAGAAAGGATTTAATGAAGTTGCTACCAAACAAAAAAGAATGGGATTGAGATATTTTAAATGTGGTAAAAGCACACATTTACTAAAAGCTTACTGACATTAAGTTCAGAAAAACTTTAAATGGCTATTTTCTCAAAATGCAGTTTTCACTGGGGTCACCAATTAATTAGCATAATAACTTCACCATTAAAGCCAATATCAGCAAGACATTTAGCACACTTGTTGATATTACATAGCTTGACTTTTTTAAATTTAAAAATCTTTACCAATTGTCTTGTTATGAGTCTAATTACCACTAATGAAGGCATTAATTAAAATGAATGAAGGATGTTCACAAAAAGCATGTGTACCAATTTTCACGTTTTTATCATTCCTAAGTAAAGGTATGGTGTTAAAACAATTTATGTTATGTATTTCTTTATTTCTGCCACATTAATTATACATATAACATATATGACTGAAAGTGTACTTTCAGAGATTGCAACATCATACTTTTGTTTTGTGCTTAACTTGTAGGTTATAAGAAGTGTAAATTTGCCCACTTTTAAGGGCAGTGCTACCTTAAATTAGAATCTAGTTACAGACACTTCTATTCAGCAATTATCACCTAACACTTGCAAAATCAAATACCTAACTATAGGCTACTTTTGCAAAAGGGTCATTGAGAGTAGAATCTTTAATTACAATAAAATGTGAGATAATAAGTAATCCTATTTAGTAAATAAAGTTAAAGACATAATCCATGAAAGTATGACATACTTAAAGATATTTGATCACTATTAACAACAATGAACATGTTATGAAGTTACTATGTATTTACATTATTTATTTAGTAAATGTCTCCACTCCCAGCAATAAAGCAGCTAAAACCTTTGTTATTTGAAAAACAAAATTATAATATAAACTTATGTGAAGAAATAAGATTTAATTTAAAATCATTAAAACTTTTGAGTAAAAAGATGTAAAAACAATTTAAAATTGATATAACTATACAATACAAAAATACAATGTGGCATTTTCAGATGAAGTGATTTTCTCTACAAATATCAGATAGTTAGAGTTGCTAATAACAGCAATTTGATCAGGAAATAAGAAAAGTAACCTATATTTGATAACTTGACTGTGTTATAAGTTACATGAGAAATAAAGAGATTGGACATGTTTGATGGACAGTGAAAACAATCTTTATTTAGACAAAAGAAAAACAGTGTGTGTGCTTGTGTAAACAAGTGGATGTTAACATTTTCCTACACTGAAATTGTATTTCCTATAGGTACTTACCCCCTATCACTCAAAGCTATCTTGATCCTTATTTGCTCTCTAAACATTGCTAAAAATATTTTTGCTAACAGCACAACAGTCTTTTATACCCCTTCATTTTTGCGCCATTTCAGAACATGTGCTGATCATGTGACTATCCTCGATTTTTGCACCATTTTAGAATGTGCTGATCATGTGACTACCCTCCATCAATCATACTGCTCCATCTATACTAGTGCAGCTAGCTCCCTCTGCTATTCTAGCACAATCCTCACATTTGGGTGTTGGCAGTTACAAACTTAAAATACTGGCATATCAGTGAGAAGGATGGGTGGGAAGTGGGTGAAAGGAGGTAAGTACCTATCAGAAACACATTTTCAGTGTAAGAAAGTGTTAACTTCCAAAACGGTACTACATCCACTCACCCAAAGCTAGAATCCCACATTGTAAAGGTAGAGGGGCCGATGAAGGTGCAACAGTATTCAACCAAGTGGAGAGCAACTGCATTGAAACAACAGGTATGCCATTGGGGTATAGCACTACTTCTGGAACAAGTATGCTCTCCACCAAGTAACAAATACAGTAATAAATATTTGGCAGAATGTAATAGGCAGGTATCATAGCCTCAAGAAAGAGATGTACAGTACTGTTCTGTGGAGAAATATTGTATAACTATGATGTGAAAAAGCACAGCATGGACAAAAACAGGCCCAAATAAATAAGTGCCAAGGATAGAATCTTGGCGCACACAGGAGCATGTCAAATGCTGTCCAACCAGGCAAAACATCCAGCGGAAACACCTTATCAAAGATATTGTGGGCAATAAGTGCGATCCTCCACATAATAAAAAAAAATCCAGGGGAAGCACCTTGAATAAGTAGTTTGATGAAAAATTGTCAGGTAATTCAGAATCAGCCCATTGTCAAAAGATAGTGCATGATAATGTGCGAACAAATGTATTGAATGATTTCCTCCAAAGGACGGCTGTTTTGAGCAGCTAAAGACAGTTAGATGATGAATTTGGTGTGAAGAAACATTATGCAGATGGCAACCTTCCATGGACACATCAGAATACAGCAGTCATATGAGTTGATGAACCCAACCAGTGAGCATAGTTGGTGATAGATCACAGGAAACAGAAAAATTCCATGAAACAAATAGACAGAAACGAGAACCACTAAAGGAGGCAGTACGAGCCATATAACATTGCAGGGAATAAACTGGACAAAGTAGTCAATCAGGATCCGAATGGGAATACAGGTGGGAAATGGAAGGTAAGGAAATATGAAAAAAGGCTAACTAACCTTCCAGGGCATCAAATGTCCTGGGAAGGAAAGCCCTATCCAAATAGCAGATAACTTACAAGAAATGGTAAAGGATGCAGAAAAATTTAATGGCATAACTATCCAAACGACAATGACCACATGCCAGGAGGGGGAGGAAATATGTCTTAAGGGAAAGATGGTACAAGAAACACATTGAAATGGGTTCAAAGGGAGAACCAGACAGGGCATGAAGGACAACATTGAGATCCCAATCTGACAGAACAAAGGGATGAGATGGATGGACCAGATAAAAGGAATGAAAAAGGAGGGAAACAACTGAGGAAGAGAAGGCTTTCTGGAAGTAGGAGAATGGAAGTTGTTCAACAGGGCAGCCCTATAATGAGCAACAGAGTCGGAAAACATGGAGATCTGGACTTGTTCCCCCATGCTTGGTGATACAGTTGATGACAGTGAAATTGTCAGAATGAACCATAAACAACCGCCCCTGCAGGAGCAGAAGGAAATGATACAGAGCTCAATGAACTGCCAAAGGTTACAGTAACCTCCTTGACTTACCACTGACCTGAAATCTCTTTGGAATCAAGGAAACTCCCACAACCCAACAAGGAAGCATCTGTGAACAGAAGAGACTCGGGACAAGTCAGAGGAATGGGAACCCCTACTGTGGTCAAGTCCCTATCGAGCCCCCAAGCAAGGTTGGCCCTGATCCCAGATGAAAGAATGATGGGATGGTCCAAGGGATCATGTGAGAAGTGCACTGGTTGAGAAGCATCCAATGAAGGAAATGCATGTGTGCCCAACCCAAAGGAATGAGAGCTTTCAAGGAAGCCCACATCCCCAAAAGAGAAAACTTCTTGCACAGAGAGAGAGAAGAAGGTAGGGCCTTTGTGATTGCCCCCTCCATATCCTAAAGCCAAAGTGGAGAAGGCTGGGCTCAACCAACATGGGAATTGAAGAAAACCCCCAAATGAATAAGATACTATGAGGGGGTACTAAAGGACTTCTCCAACTTGATGAGAAACCCCACCTTAGTAGCTTCTCGAAGAAGTAAGCAGGTGTGAGTGAATGTCTAGGCACAGAAAGATATGAGCAGAAGCCAGTCATCCATCTATTGGCAAGTCTGAAGACCCAGCAAGTGAATATGATGTGCAAAAGAGTGTACCACTTAACAACACAAGGAGCTGAAGAAAAAACTGAACAGCAGCTCCCAGAAATGGAAGACAGAACCCTGGTGGATGAACCGAAGAAAATGAAGTTACAATGGGGCAATTGGAATATTAAGATAGGCATCTGTCACATTTAACTTGGTCATTCAAAGTCCGGGAAAAACCCACTGAAATAGGACTCCATGGTGAAGCAAGGTGTTTCCAGATTAGGTATACAGCCAGGACAGATCTATGATGGGTCTCCAACCTCCAGTGTTTTTGGAGACAATAGATGTGAGTAAAATTCCGGTTCAGTGGGGACCACCCATTCGATAGCTCCTTTGTGTAGGAGGTCTCGAACAAACTCAGCAAGACAAGGGACGATCCTGAGAAGATTTGGGTAGTGGACAGAGGGAGAGTGGAACTGAAGGCAGAAACCTTCAGATATAACCCATAGAACCCACAGAACTGTCGTGAAG